CAATGGATATTGGGTTTTATCTTCTTTCATCTATTTTTCCATGTTGAGCTAGACATTAAATCTAGGACTTGATGTAGTTTTATTTGAACTATGTTTTGAATATTTTGTTGATTGTTAATTTAATTTTGTTTTCAATTCATTTATGTTTCTCTATGCTTAATGCTTCTAATTTATTTGGCCAATGAGTTAGATGATTTTTAGATTACAAATTTGATGCTCGAGAGAGATTGAGTTCTTTATCTAGATTTGAGAAACATAGTCTAGGTTGTTGTGAGACCGAGAGGAGATCAACGATTAGATAATCAAATTAGGATTTAGGTCGTTGTGAGGCCGAGAGGCGATTAATATTCTTATTTTCTAATTCTAAAGGCGAAGCTTAATTTGTGTTTTAATATTCATTTCGAATAGGGATATTATTTTGGGTATTTAAATACAATTCCTTGTGAGGCACTCGAGAGAGGTTGCGAGGTGACATTACAGCCTTGATTAATGAATTGAATGAAATTGATTAGCGATTACATAATAGGATGAACATAGGAATAATAAAGCGAAATCAAGTCCCTAGACCATTTGTGTATAGATACTTTATTTTTATTTTTTTATATTTATTTTGTTTAGTTCTGAATCATCATCTTATTAGGTTGCCTAGATAAAGTTAAGTTACAATAATCGTAGTACTTAATGGCAATTCTAAACTCAATCCCTATGGAGACGATACTCACTCACCTTATACTCAAAACTTGACACCGTACGCTTGCGGAAATTTATTATACAAAAATATTACGCATCAATTATTGGAAAGAATTGCTACGTATTGAATGGAAATCAATTGATTGATGATATATATTTTATTTGTGTACATTGAGAAAGCTATCTTTATAAATAACCTTGATAATGTAGTTATCATGCAATATTTTTGAGATATGAAATTGCATAATCGTGTGTGGTAGTACCGGGTCGAATTTTCAAATGAGCACCGGATTAAGGATCGCGATGCGAAACCTTACGATACTCCAAGAAACGGAACTCCGAATACTGACGGTGTGTTAGAATTATTAGAACCCTCACAATATTTGAGTTGAATTCCACAACTCAACAACACTATAGAATTCTAGAGAGAAAAGTTCTTATGTGCATTCCTATGCACATATTTATAGGCTCTCCTCTGGATTAAGAATGGGAAAGTTACTCATTAGTTGACAGAGAGTAATTACCACAATTGCTCCATTAGTGAAGATACTTTCCCTTTTCTTGTGATACTTTCCCCTTTCTGATTTTATTCCAAATAAATTTTTTTCTTAATTAGTTTAACCATACACAATCACGGGCAGTCAAAAATAGACAAATAAGGAATGGGACAAATTTCAATACCTTAACAATAGTTTTGATTAAATTTGTGATGTAGTTATAATTAACCTCCTCATAAAAATTAATCATGACATCGTTACTAGTAATCGTCACTTATGGTAATATGTGTGGGTGTGTGTATATACATCAAAAGATATTAGTTAGTATATCATGACTCAAATGCGAGAGTTAGAATTCGAGTGGCCCGTTCACTTCGCTGATTCGAGTTGAGATGTGACTTTATGTGAGAGTTTTTTACTGTAGTAAAAAAGTTGGATGTGATTGTTTGTGAGAGCTTTTTACTGTAAAAAAAGTCAAATTCTAAACTCGAATCAGCAAAGTAAACGGGTCTGCCAAAAATAATCACGAATGAATAAATATATTCAAAATGCCATAATATCCCTAAAACATAACTAAAATCAAAATAACTCCATGAAAATGCAGAGCTCACAAAAAAAATGGACAATATTATGATTATCTCATAATTAATGCTTATAAAAAAAGTACCTTATAATGAGGTTATTATATATGTATGTGTGTGTAGGAAAACACTACAAGATAACCTTCCAGAAAAGAAAACGGGAAATGAAGAAAAAAAAAAAAAAAAAAAGGGGGAATTAAATGACTAGTGAGCGTAAGCTTTTATCACATATAAAATTGCTTGAACGACATTGGATATTTGATAATATTTAGGAGGAAACACATGACAGCACATGAAAAGGCACCCCAATTAAAGAAAGTGATATCAAATTCAACGTTCGTGATCCACCACTAATTATTGTGGTGAAGATGCTGTTGGGACACGAGAATATGGGACCCTTACCCAATTCACTTTGAAGATTGCCATGTACAATTGTCGAGTCACCTTGAGAGTTTACAACGTAATGTATGTTGATGTAAAATTTTAACGTTTAATATACTACTAAAGAATACCTAATTAATTAAGAAAACGTTTGGTTCATAGATTAGAATTATGAGATTAGAACTATTTTTTATTTACGTGTATTTTTTGTGAGAAAAATCACTGTAACAAATCATGAACCATGATTCGAATCAGGATACGAATCTCCTTACCAAACGTCACTTAAGTCTAAGACTGTCTGGTCTAGTGGCACTGGAATTCGATGGGATAAGATTTAGGGATTGTTCTTTTGTATTTTTGAATTTAGGTGACTTGAGTGATGATCTTGAGTTGAGTTTGAGTGATAATTTAAATTGAAGTTGTAAATTGAATTTGTATTTGGATGTCCACATTTGAGTTGCGATTTGAATTGAGAATCTTTTTGAGTTTGTGTTTAGACAGGTCAAAACTTAAATTTGTATTTAGATAGTATTTTAATAAAAACTCAATGATGATGAAAAATTTTAATAGGGTATATGGGTGGGGTTTTATTCGTCTTTTCGTTGTAAATGCATAGAAAAAAATCATCTCAATCAGAATTAAAACGAAAAAGTTATGGCATTTTTAATAATAAAAAAATATTGTTCATTAACTTGAGTTCGAGTTTATGAACTCAAATAGTTGAAGGAGAAACTTGAACTCGAGTTTAGCCCCAAACTCGAGTTTAAACTCAAATTTTACAAAAGAACATGAACTTGAATAAAATTGTAACCCGAGTTCAAATTTTTTCCGAACTTCGTGGTAAAAGAACAACCTCTTAAAGTAGGTTGCGGGTTCAATTAAAACTGTCATTTAATCTATTCTATATAAAAAAAATTAATCATAATATTATATAACTTTCTGTTTTAAATTGAATTTACACCAATTATAACACATGTCAAATTTTAACATTTAATTGTTGTTAGTCGATGTAGTGCATAAAAATAGTTTCATTGAATGGGATAAATTATATATTTCAAATCTTGAGTAGGGCACAATACTTTTGCACTACACTTGAGATGCTTAAAAAAAAACAATCTCTAATATATATGTCAAAGCTAGTTAAGGCTTTATTTGATACTAAAAAGCGTGAAAATTACATATGACATAGGTTGTTTCTGTGTTGTGTTTTAAGGTATAGTGCCATTTCAAATATGTAAATTTTTGTTATAGCATTGGAGATTGTAAAAACAAATATTCAATCTTAAAATAATTTGAAAATGATGATGCTATAATGATTAAATAAAACAAATCACTACATCGAATAACAACAATACTAATTTATGGAGTCCTACTCAAGATTTGAAATATATATAATTTTTTTCATCTTTCCTCATTATCCAGACAACATCGTTTTCAAAATCATACATTACTGGCGATAATATCCTAGGGTAGAATCTTTTGAAAAGAATAAAAAAGACAAAGCTTATAGGGGTTTCATAGTCAACTCTTATAATAAAACCTTATTTGGGTAATCTTGGTTTACTTAGGCTCCGTTCATTTTATTGATTCGAATTTTTAGTTTTAGATTTTTACAGTTAAAAGTACTCAGAAAATATCACATCTAAATTTTTTGAATACAATTAAATATTTTTAAAAAATATCATATCTCAACTCAAATTAAAAACTCAATCTGTGAAGTGGACAAGGCCTTAGTATTATTTTTCCTCATCACCATTTTATTTAGAGGATTTTTTTTGTGGTGTTTTCTCTTTTTAAAGAACATCAGTGTTTCATACTTATCAGTCATCAAATTTATATTAAATATAGTTAAAAATCAATTATATTAAAAAATAATACATATTTAGTGACTGATAAATAAAAAATATCAATATTTTTTTTAAAACAAACACCAGAAAAATTCTATTTATCTTGACTCAAAAAACAGACAAACAATCCTAAAAAATAAAAATAAAAAAAAATAAAAATCAGACAAACGAAATAAGGTTGCAAAGTAAAAGACAAAAAAGACCAACATCAAAAGAAAAAAAAAAAAAAAAAAACCCCCACAAAAAACTTTTGT